AAACATAATATGTCACGTCATTATTTGTTGACTTACTTTAGTAAAATAGGTTTTTGCTGTCGCAACTTTGTTTATCTTAAAAATAGTTTTATCCTTTGTTATATTTCTTTATGGAGTAAGGAAAAACTACGATGTCAAACAATTATATGTTATTGGCTTTGTCATTTCGAAAGATTTTTACGTCTTTTCAAATATCATTTTGTTCCCTCTTCTTGATCAGTATCTTAATTCTAAATCACAAAACATCACGGTGTACTAAGTTTTTTTTTAAATATTGTTTATTTTCAAAAATTCTATCACGCAAACATTCACCGTAGGGAACGTGTTACAGTATCGCGTTTTTCGGTTACAGTATAGAATTTTCAAGATGGAGGATTATTTATGGGAAGAGAGGTAGGTGATTTTTATTCAGGTCCATACTACTAGTAGTGTAGTTTCTAAAAGATGTTTTTGTGCTTTGCTTGTAAGGAACAGAATCCGGTATCTAGTCATATATTTCTTCAGACCCTGCACCGCAGATTTATCTCTATATTGTCTCATAAATTTGCAGATTTGACGGTTTAAAAATTTGAATCGAGAGACCAACGCATTTTTCTCCCATTCCGACATTTTTAAAGTATGCCTAGATAAAGTAAATCTACAAAACGTTAGTCCTTTATGTTTAGAAACGTTTCTAAAAGTAAATGACCAGTTGAACCTATTTTCCTGTTGGTAAAATGCATTTGAAAAAATAAACAATGTTACAGTATAGAGCGAGGTTAATTTGGAATGGTTACAGCATAGACCTAGCGACTTTGATCCAATTTTGTTACAGTTTATACCCAGATTTCGGTTACAGTTTAGATACTTGCCAAATTTGAAACAAAGTTCGTGTATCCATTATTTTTATGAAATAACTCATACCTTTCTATTTAATACATTCTTGAAAGGTTGTATTACTTTTTTTCTTCAGCAGAACAGTGAAAAGTTGCTATTTTTCTTACTTTAAGTTTCAGATTGAGACTTTTTGCAGAATAAGTAATGTCCTAAGTAAGGACTGTTTTCACGACAACATCAGTAACTTTTATCGAATTGTAATGAGAGAAGAAAGATTATTGCTTGATTTCATTACACATTATAATAATGCCTATTTATAGTAATAAAATAGAGAAAAAAGAACAGAAGTCCAACACGGAAAACATGAAAATGTTGCAGGCTCAGTTTGACTAAACCTGTTCATGGACGGTAGTGGTAACTGCAAGCTACCGTTCACGCCTCCTAGCACCGGCTTCAGCAGAATTCACATTAAACATGAACTGGTACACTTCAGATTTTTTAATATCTGAGGATGTGTTCATATGGCGGTTATCATATAACCTTCAATGTGACACGTTATTGCCATTCTATGAAAAGCGGCATATTACCCCCCCCCCCCACCCCAGGTTAAAAATTGCGTGTGCCATAAACGAGAATACAATGAGTGAAACTAAACAAAATTAAATTTTGAGAAGGGGTCGGCGGTTATGAAGCCTGCATACCATAGATAAGCTATCAAAAGACACAATAAACAATCAGGCAATACCCTAAGAATGATTAAACAGTATTTAAGTGAGCAATACTGCAACCTTACTTTCTATTTTAAGTTGGAATTTCCATCTTCCATAATGTATTTTGTAAGTATTTAAAAGTGTTTATGAACATTTTCAATTTTGTTGTGTTGGAATTTCTTTAGGGATTTTGTTTAACTCTATTTTGTTACGTTTGGCTTTCTTGGATTTAAAGTTTCAACGACACTGAGGTCATGTAAATACATTCCTGCTTTAGTGTACACAAAGACCCCAGATACCCTTTGTGAAACATTTCAGACACGAGCGCCTGACTAGAACCACCGACCTTCCGTAAATTAGCTTGATAAATTCCTCACATACAAAGAATCCAAAGTCATGATTGGATTTCAACTACAGCAGTAAATGAAAGATGATTTGAAGTCGACGGCCTTATCCCGACTCTGCCACTATTATGTACGTCCATCACTAGAGAAGATATTGTAATTGTCTGACCTTAATTTATATTATAACTTTCAATATTATTTTCTTTTTCAGAAACATGAAAACTGCTATACAGGATGTCTGAAATAAAAAAAAAACGATTTTTAATTTAATAATGACAAAATAATCGTAACTTCAACAAAGAAGCATTCGAAATGACGCCATAATCATGATTTGATTTGAATGCTTTTGGTTCGAGATGAGAAGGGTCTTTAAACATTGCCTTTTTTCAAAATCTATGTTTTGGGTTTTCGTATCCCCGATTGCAACCGAAACCATTTGAACAACTTAAAATTGGAAGAAAGTCATGTAAATTTCATCACATGTAGTCAAGTAGTCATACTGAGCGGATGAGATTGCACACACATGTGTACGACAGACGGACGAATAGCCATCGTGCCAATAAGCTCACAGATATTTAAAAGTCTATGTAACATTCATACATTTTACCTTGTATAATTATATAGAAAATATCGAAGTCTAAACTGTAACCGAAATCTGGGTATAAACTGTAACGAAATCGGATACAAATCGCTAGGTCTATGCTGTAACCCTGTACAAATTACCTCGCTCTATACTGTAACATTGTTTATTTTTTCAAACGCATTTTACCAACAGGAAAATAGGTTCAACTGGTCATTTACTTTTATAAACGTTTCCTAACATAAAGGACTAACGTTTTGCAGATTTACGTTTTCTAGGCATGCATAAATAATGTCGAAATTGCAGAAAAATGCGTTGGTCTCTCGATTCAAATTTTCAAACTGTCAAATCTGCAAATTTATGAGACAATATAGAGATAAATCTGCGGTGCAGGGTCTGAAGAAATATATGACTAGATACCGGATTCTGTTCTTAACTAGCAAAGCACAAAAACATCTTTTAGAAACTAAACTATTTGTAGTATGGACCGTAATAAAAATCACCTACCTCTCTTCCCAACAAATAATCCTCCATCTTGAAAATTCTATACTGTAACCGAAAAACGCGATACTGTAACACGTTCCCTACGGTGACATTAGTAGTTTTCGTATCCTCAAAAAAGAAAAAGAAAAAAAAGAAATAACATAAATAAAACAAACATATACAACTGAAGAATCTTATGCAAAGATATAAAATGGTATTATAATAGTAATTCGTAAGCAAATAGTATTCAGTCAAACATAAATAAATATATTTGTTTATTACGTATGGTTTAAATATTATTATAAAAATATATAGCATTAAATGGTGAAACTGTTTATGCGGCGGTAGGAGGTGTATGAAATTAGTTGTATACTATGATTAAGATAATCAGTATTTGTCTTTTTAAACTGTTTTGAAAACACCTCCGGTGTCTATTTAAATGATAATATTAGTGCTAATGTAATGAACTGAAAAATATTTTATAAAACTTTAATTCAACATTGAAATGAACAGACTCCAAAATGATAGCATGACATGTTACATTAGATGAGCTATAAGTAGATTAGTAGAGAATTGAAAAATCATATGTCAAGGTCAGGTTTTCTATTATAGTTATTGGCAAAATAAAAAAAATAAAATGATATAGCATGTGCATCTTTCGTTTGTCGCTTTTATACGTAACTTGTGATAATTGTCACGGGATATTGTTGAATAAGAAAATGAAAGTTTTCGTTAAATAAAACACCATATTCTACCGTCCGACGTTCAAACACCCTTTTTCTGATTCTGTTGCAAATTCTTTTTTGTACAACTTCAGAGGGTATTCTTCGCACAAAATGAAGACCAAAGCCCTAACCCAAACAATTTGTTCAGGAGATTTCCGGGTAGCATGGTCATTTTGTGGACCGGCGGTTTGTTCTTTCTGTATATAAAGTGCATAAAAAACACAATATTCTATAGCCAAACGTTAAGACGCCATTTGTCTGATTCCGTTGCAAAATTGTTTTTGTACAACTTCAGAGGGTTTTCTTTGCACAAAATGAGTAACAAAGCCCTAATCCAAAGAATATTTCCAGGAGATTTCCGCTTGGCATGGTCAATTCTTGCTCCCGCGATTTATTCTTTCTGTATATAAAGTGCATAAAAAGCACTATATTCTACATACAACCGTTAAGACACCATTCGTCTGATTCCGTTGCAAATTCATTTTGTAAAATTTGGGAGAGTATTCTTGGCACAAAATGAGTACCAAAGCCCTAACGCAAACAATATTTCCAGGTGATTTCCGCGTGCATGGCCATTTTTGGAGCGAAATTTTTGTTTTCTGTTTATAAAGTGCATAAAAATCACCATATTCTTAAGCCACGCATTATGAAACCTTTGGTCTGATTCCGCTGCAAAGGCGTTTTTGTACAACTTTGGAAGGTCTCCTTTGCACAAATTGAAAACCAAAGCTCTAACCCAAAAATTTTTCCAGGAGATTTCCGCATGGCATGGTCATTTTTTGGACCGGAGTTTTGTTCTTTCTGTATAAAAAGTGCATAAATATTCGTAAAAAAACCCCCACCATATTCTAGATCCAATCTGTCTGATTCCGTTTTATATTCGTTTTTGTACAACTATGGTGTGTCTTCTTTGCACAACATGAAAACCAAATCCCAAACGCAAGCAATATGTCTGGATGATTCCCGCATGGCTTGGTCGTTTTGGGACAGGCAATTTGCTGATTTCGATATAATCGTTAATCAACTTATAATTTGCAAAGTCACATCATGGAGACAAAACCCTCCTGACATTGTATTTTACATTATTTTGACCAATCACAACTTAATAAAAATGTTAATTAGTGTTGTTAGACAGAACGCGGTTTAAAGAACGTTCCTACAAGAATTGACATCATGCCCAGCAAGCCATTGTAAAATGAACGATTCGTTATTAAACAAAAGTGGAATAATAATTACATTGTGATGGTTTAGGAAGCAGAATGGCGAGTACTTACCACCCTAGTCCCTCTACCATTTAGTATGTGGCCTTCTTAGAAAGCTGCGAGATGGTGGAATATCTGGCATGAACTTTTTGGTCAAGAAAAATCCTGATTATGCAAGGTTTAGGAGTGTACTTGATGCACAGATGAAATTTCTAACGAAAGAAGGCGTCGTCGGCAAAAGACGGGAAGCTCAGCCCATTTTAGAAGACGAAGAAAAAGTTATTTGGAAAAAGGGAGTATTTGGTAATAAAGACGCTCTTTCTTTATAGCACACTGTTTTCTTCTATAACTGTAAACTCTTCGGTTTAAGGGGATATGACGAACACAGGAATTTGGAAACTGATCAGTTTGAAATAGGTTCAGATTCTAATGAAAAGTTTATAGTTTATACAGGAAAGAACTCTAAAACGTATAACGGTGGCCTGAAACACCGCCGTATTGAACCTAAAGTTATAAAACACTACAACAATCGGCAAAACATAGTGGATTACTATGACCAATATTTGAAATCCGTTGGAGATGGAGCGTTTTATAAGAGACCAATTCATTCCCAGAAGCCAGGAGAAGTGCGTTTTTCAAATCAAGTTGTAGGCGTGAATAAACTTAAAGGTTTTATGAAAGAAATATGTCAGCTCGCGGGACTTGAAGGTGTTTACACTAATCACTCTGGAAAAAAGACTTGCGCAACAAGTCTTTATCAGAAGGATGTACCCGAACAAGAAATCATGAAACGAACAGGCCATCGATCCGTGGCCGGTGTCCGACGTTATAATAAACCCAGTAATGAAATGTTGGTAGACATTTCCAATAAATTAAATCCGCCAGAATGGAAATCAACGGAACAGGTCAAAAACGAAACGTTGAATAAACCATCAACAGAAACGCTTCTACATGACGCAACTCACGCAAGTGATGACGAATCCAAAAACAACCAATCAACCGCTTTGAAACCCGGAAATTTGTTCGGGGGAGGACAACATGTTTATAATAACTGTATTTTTAAGTTTTGAAGAAGAAAAAAAAGATAGACATGATTTGTAAATTTGATAAATAAAAATTAGTTCTTTCAATGTTTTCGGTTTTGTTTTGCTCTTTTTCAGGTATGCTCACTTTATTATTTGAAATAAAATAATAAACTGGGCATGCGCGAGAAAGTGTACTGATACCTCATTTAGAGCACCCCAAAGCGTACTGATACTTCATTTAGAGCACCCAAAAGTTTCCCAATACTGAAATTTAGAGAACGCCGATCTTCAAAGGAAAGTTGTGGCGGTCATGCGATAAGGCAATATATGGTCCAAACCTTAATCAATGGAAATTTGCCTTGAGAGGCCCTCCTGGCATGTCCGTTTTTGTTATTTGGAAGGGGTGTTGGGGGGTTATCGGCGAATATATCCTCCGGAATTGTATAAATCGTAAATGAAATTTCGTGAAAAAAAACATGACTGATTGTGTCTGTTTCCATTAAGTATTAGCCATTGAATTTTTTTGGACCTAAATATGAGGCGTGAAGTCAAAACGGTCGCTAGAAGAGCATTTTTTGTCTAGATACCAAAAGAAATCGTTAAAATTGCAAATTAAAATTACATGTACAAAATGTATATAAATTAATAAATTTATATCATCAGTTTTAATGAAATAATTTTGTTTGAAATATAGAATTGAAACCATTTTAGTCGAATATACGAAATACATCGAAATATACATTGTAGTAAGTTGACATTTTATGTACGCAGCTAACAACTAATTGCGCAGTTGAAAAAAACATTGAAAGCATTTGCTTCCTGATTAGTATCTTTATTTGTTAACCCCAAACTGTTCGTTATTGGTATACTCCAGTAAGAAAATGTTTTGAAAAAAAAAATCTTTTAATTTTGACTTCCTGATCTATATCTTACTTGTTACTTTTGAAACAGAGGACAAAGGGGGGACCCCATTTAAAAAATATTTTCACTAAAGAGGGTGTACCCCCACATATTACAGTCCAATTCATGTAACCATAAATTCTTGATTATAAATGTTTTTTATTGTTATTATCAAACAACAATAAAAACATAGCATAAAATATGATTAAGGAATGATAGGACATGTTAGCATCAACACTTTCAAAGTTCATAAAACAATTAAACAATGGAAAATACTCAATGTGTTTAAGGTTATCATAAACCCTTTCTATAAATTCATTTTTCAGAATAATTAAAAGAAACAGCACGATTGAAATATGTGTGTTATATTTATTTATAAAATATTAGTTTTTATATCAAAGTAACAAAACTATAAGAATTATGTCAATTATTGCATAATGGCGCTAAAGACTAAACATTGAAATTTGACAGGTATGAGGAAATTCACTAACATCATGCGAGTCAAAGATATAAAAGCCACTTGAAATTAGTAATAAATAAAAAAGCTTTTGGTAATTCTATTACTGGGAGAAAAATATACTATTTTGTTAAATCGCTTGACCCACCAGTTTGTTTACATTTTCATGATAAAACTGCAGACGGATGTTTCTGTTGTTTACATGTCACAGAATTTGGCAAATCAAAATTCCCCTCAAACCACCATAAAACTGATTGCCTTCAGACAAAGTTGACTCAACTTCTTACAGCAAAATGTTGATTTAAATATTCGATCAAGTCAGTAAAAAAGAAAGGAGCTATTAATTTCCCTAAAGAACCATGCCTAAAGAGTGCAATATATTGTTTAATATGCTTGAAGTCCAAATCTGCAAAATTCTCTAGTTCGTTATTTATTACCATAGCGCGACATGAATAACCGTGTCATTAATGTTCAGACTCAAAATTAAAAAAAAACTAAATTAAAACTACTTCTATAAATATATTATCTGACAATGTTTACTAGGTAATATATGTATAGCTTTCAAATAAAATGCATGCATAATACAAAAACTATATATCGGTTTATTTCAATAAATTTTTTATGCAATCCGTTCATTTATTGCTTAAGGTCGACTCAATTCAATGATTAGAACTCAAATCATTTCCTATCAAATGTCCATTTAATATAAAAGAAAATGAATTTAAAAAGGTAGGATAAAAATATAAGTATGTCTCATCGAGATATTTTAACATATTTGTAAACAAAAACTAGATAAGTAAAGTATCGAAGTTTGAATTAAAAGTGCAGAAAAAAAAGAAATCTGGAGAAAAGGGAAAACTCTCGAAAGCAATGAAACAAATGATAACATGCATATTGTACATTCGGTTTGGTCTCTCTGCGAGGGCTTATTGAAAATCACTCATGCCCCCAGTACTGACTTAAGCAGGATCGTTTTATTCTTTAATAATGCACGTGCTGAAATTAATTATACCCACCGACAAGAAAGCTAACAACACCTAAGTGAAATACGATTGAAGTAGGGGAAACTATGCTATTAAGATCGTTTGTGATTCTAACAAAAATGGTCTTAATAGTGAGGTAGTCTGAATTTTTTATAAACTCTCATATGATATATGTGTAAATAGATTCCCGGTTGTGGCATTAACATATCATATACTGTACACTCGAAATTTTATTTTGGAAAACGATGTCAACAAATTCATGATTGGGCATATTCTTTATCTATGAAACTTTTGAGGAAACCTTAACGGATACGTTCATTTCTCATTTGTTTCGTTTTTATTTTCCAGTGACTATATGACTATAAAAATATACAATGTATCAAACTTTCGTGCCCTGTCATGTTTTTCTGTGGGGTCCTCCTGGGCTCCTTGCCGCTGGCGCTTGTTGCTGGGTCGGGCTGGGGCTGCGTTCATTGAATGCCGCCTTTCCTTGTCGATCTTGTTTATCATATATTATATTGACTTATCAAAAGGTTAAAATGGGAATGGTTAAAATATTGTCTTTCGGTAAATTTGCATTTCAATTGCTTAAATTCTGACAACCATTAAAAGTCATTGTGAATTACGTGATAGTTCATAATACAACAGTTTCAAATTGCTTTTCAAACATCAAAAACATTTTCAGTTTTGTTGTGTTGGGCTTGCTTTTGGGATTCTTATTTTTCTTTATTCTTAAATGAGCTATCTTTAGAGTGGCGATACAGTGGACCTCGGCTTTTAAGGTCTCATCCAAAAGAACATAAGTAGTGTAAGTGTGGTAACGGGAAACATCATTCGTGTAGCATAAAAACAATTACCTGTAACGTAGGTATACTATTAAAAATAGAGAAAATAAAAATAAAATTGATCAACATCAACTAATCAAATCAACTTACTAACCTTATAATGTTTTAACGTTTTTCAAATATTAATGATTGATGACCGTTTTCTTATGCACTGTAGTCAAAGATAAACTATTGTCAAAAAGATAAATAAATAGATATGTTTAAGCGCGTTGGAAACATGATACAATTATCGAGACTGACGAACTGGAAGTGATTAATTCACAAAATTGACTAAATTGTGTAATGCATAATTATATTTTTTATCTACTAGCTATGTATTTTCTATTGCATTTATTTTAGATAAAATAGGAATATGTTATAAGTAATGCTACTTTAAGACCCTCAGGAAAGCCTAAAACTACAATATTGTTGGTTACAATTATTATTTGGTATTGACAACTGCATTTATTGTTGATGACAAAGTACATTCTTAAATACTATTGTTTCTTTTCTTGTCAGTTAAACAAAATGTTTAAGTGTCAATTATTAAAAGATAGAATATGAAAGGAGAAATATTCTTATGTATGTTAAATAAAATCTTTACGTTTACATAAACATGTAAAGATGTAAAATCTTACATGTAACAGTCAACATTATCGTTATTTGTAAATCATACGTGGTTTTAAAAACCCTTTGATAGAATGTGTGAGATATATTGAAATATACTCTTTATTTCTATTTTTTCCTTTCTACGCAGTTTGTTACCTGCATTAGGCTACAAACATTAGAGCTGTAAATATGTTTCTTGATCCTCTTTCTTCCTGATCTATATCTGACAGGTTATTTGTAATTCTTTCATTCGCCAATACGAAAGTGTGCTTATGTGAAATAAACTTTTTGGCTTCCTGATCTATATCGTTGTTAAATTATTACTTTTTCATTTTTAAAACAAAGAGTTTAAGGTAAACTAAGGTAAACACTCTTTTTAAATTTGCAATACCTAAAGAGGGTACTACAGTAGACAAAAAAAAACATGGACATTCAATATGAATGCTACCATCAATATTTGATCATTGTATTTTGTTTATAATTAAATAGTGATAAGCAAATTCTTGTATTAGTTACCAATAATCGTGTCATATAGATTCTTTTGCCACTCTCTTTATTGATCAACGAATGTATTGTTTTAGCTCATATGAATTGTAGTTTTATATTTCAAGACAGGTTTTTAACATACCGTATATCATTTTATACATTTCAACATCCTTATTTAAGGATATCATAAATCCCACCAATGAATTCATATTCGACAATAAAAAACAACAGCATTAAATTTATGTGTTATGATGTTATCAAGCACTGTCAATTATTGCTATGGAATTGTTTTCATTTAGGGTTTTAGGGAATATTTACTTATTTAAAAGTTTTATTTAAAAAAAGTGTAAAATAATTTTGAATTATCGCACTGGTGTCCAAAATCCTTTTTGCAAACAACAACAACACGCACATACTTATTAAAAACTTATTTCGTTATTGAACTAAGGTGACAAACAGTACACTAATCAACGAAAGGAAAAAAAGACAACAACAAAGAAAAGTATCATTTAATTTACGTATATTTTCTTCTATCTTTACATTATTGGACCTTGTTATGTCATAAAAAAGACCTTGAAGTACCTTCCTATTTAATTGTTCTATACAGAGTCACGGCTATAACAATATGTCATGTATAAGATGAATATTCAGACACATAAAGCACAAGAAAGTTTCAAAAACATTTGTACTCTATTATATAAAGCTTTTTTTCTATGTCTAAGTTAAAAAAATTCAAGCATTGTATTATAACATTTTGAGGTTTACATTTTTAAAAGGTAAAAACAA